TAGCATCTCTCTATATTTTTTAATTAGTTTTATAAAATATATTAATCCTTTCATAGTACTGTAGTACTTGTTAAATTTTTGTTGGACCTTTTTGCATTACAACTGCATTTGTCCATATCTCTGATCATTATTTAATTGTTGATATTCATTTTATAACTGAAAAACCAACAGGGATACAAAAGTCAGAACGCAATGAATATATCTTGTATATGGCTGGCACGCACATTTTATACTTCAGTACTTTCATAATCCCTTACTAACCACGAAGTATTCCAAATAAATAATAGATGAAAGGCATTGTGTTAATACCGGTATAGGCAGTTATTAATATGACAGCGATATATCTACCGGTATCCAAACATTGAAAGACCACTTGCCGTCCTTCTTATTTACCCATGCTTACTTGTTATTAATTAAATCTACTAATCTCGGTAAACGGATTAATTTAGGATTAGAACCTACAGATTCCTGTTGTTGGCCGTGTAGAATCCTGAATGGACAGGCGAGCGGGTCTGAGGAGTCATTATCCAGTACAATGTCAAGAATTGGAACAGCAGGAACCGGGTCAGACCTAGGGAAGTTTACAGATTGCCATGGCAACCGGTAAATAAAGGAAAACAAATCAATGTCAGAAAAGCACGCAGCATCCGCAGTATTTACCGGGGGTATAAAAATCATTAACTGACAGCTTTTCAAAGCGTATGTGTATATTGCATGAATGCTAGTATTATAATTTTCATATCATTGCATTCGATATTTTCCTTTGGATTAAATGCTAACATAACTGTTCTTCTAGTACCCACTACCCAGTACTAGTAATTGATATAGTCACATGGCATATTTTTTTTTAGATTTTTGTCAGAAGTAAAATAATCTTAATTATGAATAAATTATGAATCTGTGCGATTTCTTCTGTCAATAACACTACAAGAGTTATCGCTCCTGTGTATCTCTACATATTGGAGAATCGCAGCAAGAAAAAAAAATGCACCAAAAGCTAGTTCCATTCTCTTTTAAGGTAGTCTATTGACAAAACATATTTATACCCCCCGCTTGAAAAGCGGGAGGGTATATAGTAATCGGTATGTCCGTCCGTCCGTCTGTTACGCTTTGGGGTACCCATCTCTTATCCGCAACTCCTCTCATACCACTGAAGGAAATTGAATGAAACTTTCACAGAATTTTTATTACATATTGCCATTGTGCATCTCGTATTTTACTTTTTGATCTGACATATATTTTGGATTTTCCAGAGCAAAACATGGACACTGCCATTTTATTCATATGGGAGGCGGGGGGTATCATTTAGTGAGCTCAGTGCTCACAGTATCTCTAGTTGATTTGGTCGTCTTTATTACATTTTCAAATGTGCATAGGCCCGTAGGAAACAATTTCACAACTGGAGGGGGAAGGGGACACAGCCACTGATATATTTTCAGTAGGGATACTATCAACTAGGTCTACCAAAAATTCATTAACAAGCAAGTAAAAAAGTCATCAGACGTTTTCATTGAGATGGCACGGCCAGTATACTATGTTTTTCATATTATACTATATAATGGCAAAATTATTGCCGACCACGCCCCCTCCCACCCGGTCCTTACGGTCATGGTGCAGTGCTGACCTGTAATTCACTTAAATAGATAAAATGGGAAAGAATGGTATTTTGTCACAGTTAAAAGAATAACACTGGAGATTTTCTTCCCCAGAGAAAGTAGTTAAATCAGCATGTGTTTGTAAAATGCACTGTGTGAATGGCAAAATTTATAAATAAAAATAGGTATTAAAATAGGTAAAACTAGTATTTAATGTTGTGGCTGCAAATGACCCAACAACAGAGTTTATATTTATTGTTTCCATTGCCTTGCCATACATAGATTGCAGAAGTAATGGACCTATATGAATTTTGGAATGGTTGCCGGGGTACTTTAATTTTTCATACGTGTATATTTCTCGTGATCTAGACCACTATTCGACTACCGAATTTTTGAACTCTTGGTTTTGGCGTTTTAACCTACATTTGAAAAACTTAAACGTTGCCGAGCTGTCTTACGGGGGCTTCAGAGTTTCACAGATCTTTGCAGTTTTTGGCTCAACTCAAAGCGTGGCTCAAGGGTTATAACTCGTATACAAAACTCGAAGTACGGAAAAAATGTGCTAGAAGGAAAATTAGCTTGGAGGGAAAAACATAATAGTGTTTCAGAGTCCATTAAATATATTTTCCCCTGAATTAATCTATTTCTTCACAAAATATATGCTTATGCCAATTAACAAATCTAAATTCCACTTTGTCTTAAAAATTCAAGTACCTAGCATTAAATTAAAAGCTAAAGGAAAAAATAACAGGTAAGAGTTTTACAAAATTTGAAAATCTTTACTAGTAGCTCCACCTCTGCACTGCTTACTAAATAGTTCTGATTCGGTATTATTTTTATGAAGTTTAGAGAGTAATCTATACCTACATGTAGATGAAGGTTATCGAAATTTACGATGTTTTACCCAATCTGTAATTCAAACTTTTTTTTTTGCCAAGATAATTTAATTTTTGAACACTATTTGGATGTGTAAAAGCACCCCACTAGTAATCATATTGCTTTCTGATCAATAATACTGTTTATAATTATTGTTTTTCAACACTTGAGGGGGGGGGGGGGTGTAAACACAACCCTACGTTGAGCATGACATAGAAAAGTAAATACTAGGAAGTATCCTCAATCTTTATACAATTAAACTTTCTCAATGCAAAAAAACAACAACAATGTGTAGGCCTATAGAGGCTCCTTGAATCGTGGGGAAACGGTTCCATACTCAGTAACAACAGTGTCTAAAAATACAGCAGTGCAAAATAAAGAGGGGGTATCAGTTGAAGAAGTGTTTGGGGATGCTTGCATGGTAGGCTAGCCGGATCTGCGTGCCTTTTGTTAAAAAGTATATGTTTCGATGATATGGTTATATCGTGTAGGACACAATTTTTAATATTAATTATAAGTTGTCGATCTGACACATCTTCACATGGGTTTTCATCACCACCGGATATATACCAAGTCGCCCGGGGAGTGGCGCTCTCACGCCATGTCATCCACAAAGACATAGTAAAATTAATAATATGTCGTATCTTTCAATATTAAATGACACTTTCATTATTTCCCCAGCAGTGATAAAGTTTTAACAAATTATGTCCAATTCAGTGGCCAAATATTAGGCCCATTTTAAATAACTAACATCGTGTCCCTTTGTTTCCTCTTGAAAACTTCAAATCAAACACTGATTAAGTTTTAAATTTTTATTACAACTAGTATTTAGAAAAGATATAAAATGTGATATACAACAACAACAACAACAAATACTTGTTATAAAAACAGCATTGCCGTCATCATGTTCGGCTTTAGATACACAATATTTACAAGTCTCAAACACAAAGCAGCTATCTGCATGGTTTAAAGAAGTTCTATTTACATCAAAGTCCCACCAAAATTTGGGGCTCAACAAAGTTCTGGATTGAAGGTCACCTTGCCATGATTTCTTCAAATTTTGAGGGTAGAGAGGCACCAACATTGATGAACAAACTCTTAAGCACATTAAGTTCTTTTGTTAACAAGTCAAGTTTCTTTTGTAAATTTTCGTTTTCTGTGGTCAGTTCTTGCACTCTTTCCTCTGTTTCTTGTTGCTTTTTCTTTGCTTTGTCTCTACTTTTTCGCACAGCGATGTTGTTTCTGACTCGTTTATCTAGATATTCCTCGGTCCCTTTAGCTGGTTGCTTCTTTCTATTTGGTCTGATGGGACCCCCCGCGGATGGCTTTCTGCCGGGACGACCACGCACTATCTGAAGGGGCGAAGTCGGAGGGGTGAGGGTCGATGAAGTGACGTCGTGTTCAGACCCGGACGGTGAGTGCACGAGACTGTCGACGTCACATGTGCTGAGATCCTCCCCCTTGATGGTTGAGACTGACCAGCCAGTCTCTGTACTCGTTGTAATTTGGTCCTGACTTGACATAAAGTCAAATTCTTTTAAAGTAGGTAAGGCACTTGTTTGTGCTGTTTGCAGTTCAGTAAATGGGACACAGGTAACTGGGTCAGCGGTCTTCTCCCCCAAAATAATGCTCTCTAAAGCGGCGTCGTTAACGTGTGTGGAGTTATTCAGCAGTAATTGAATGTCAACTGAATTTTCTAAGAGCGGGTCCAAGTCAAACTGGCCCGGATTATCAAGTGAAATCGTTACTTGCGTTTTCTTGCCCTGTTCAGTATCGTACAGGTTTAGCGATTCCATCAAATTTTCTTGAGGACATGGTGAACCTGGGAAAATGTTCTCGTCAAATGAAATTATTGGGAAATCCAGCGCCTCCTCTTGTGTTGTCACCCCAAAGACAGACCCGAAAGCCTGTGTTATGTTCACACGCGAATCTTGAAGATTGCGGTCGTTTACTTGTCTCACTCTGGAGTTGTTAGACATACCACTGACGAAACATCGTGATCTCAACGTATATATAGATATTAGTCGGGGTTATCGATGTATTACTACGCAAAGTCAAAATTGCAAAAATATATAATTAGCCTAGTAAAAGATAAAGTATTCATAAAAATATACACTATAATCAAAAGAAAAATAAATTTAACTTTTTAAAAATCCAACACATGCTTATTTCGTTTTTTAGTTTGATGAGAATCAAGAACTATTTTGTAAGTCGCAATGATGTATCAGGTATAGTTTGCCTTAATTCTAAATTTAGAATATGATGTAAGAAGGACCGATTTTCATTGGTTCCTAAAAATAAACATTACCACTTCATTAGTCTTGACGTAAATATTGCTGGAAAACTCCTTTAGGTTTTCTCGAGTGTGGAGTGAGATTCTAGAGAATTCCGAAAGTGGGAAATTCCATTTTGTGCGGTATGACCCTTTCAAAAAATTTCTTCTATGTTTTTTAAATTTCATATAACGTGTAAAATATTTTAAGATACATTTTTCCCTATAATATCAAAGAGTTAATTGGTATCTTAATTTTAATGATCATTCTGCACTGAATAAAGGAAGTGCTTACCGATTGGCGAAGAAGTTGATTGCATCACAGATAAATTGCATGGAAGGCCATTAGTATACAGATTGCTTTTGAAAGAAATATTTGCCTTTAATATCGAAGTGGATATCAGGTAAGATTTTTTCAAACTTTATTTTGATTTGTTCTATCAAAAAATACGATTATCGTTCAGAGATACGATGATCAAAGCTTCTTTTGGTTTGTTGATATTGACAATTCTACTTCCGGTTTTTGATTTTGCAATCATTTCGTCTATTGTTTTGTACCCAAAGTTAAATATTGTTTTTCTGTTTTCGCTAAAATTGACTAGAATGTTTCCATTATTTTAAATGATATGAAATTCATGGTTTAAAAAGGGTCACATACACTAAAAACATTTATTGCATCAGGTACTAAATCTAGCGAGGGGGAGATCACTCTATTTAAATGTTGTGATGCAATAGTGAATGTCTGTTTGTAGGTTGTAAGATGGCACCAAAACGGCCGGATTATGATGGTTCAGACGGAGAGTCATGTGATAAACCTCCCAAACGTGCTAGAATGGAAAAAGACACAGATGAGTATTTGAAAAGGAGGGAAAGAAATAACATAGCAGTAAAAAAGAGTAGAGAGCGTTCCAGACAAAAAGCTAAGGAGACAATTGAGCAAGTGAATAGATTGCGAGCAGAAAATGAAATGTTGGAACAAAAGGTTCAAATTCTTTCAAAGGAACTGAGTGTTTTAAAAGACTTATTCTTGGCTCATGCAGGCAGCGTAGCCCAGTCGGACAGTGCCATAGAATCCACTGATGCGCGGGCACCAATCTCCGACCATCAGTACAGCTCATCTAAACAGAAACAGTGACTCCAAACACTGGAGATAGATCTCGATCTTTCATGTGCATTGGTCCATTTTATTATATATAAATCAGCAAAAGATAATATTGTTTACAATCAACTCACATACAGTGCTCTAGTTTCATACATTTTAGTTACATGCAAACAAAAGATGGCGGTGATAAATAAAGTTTTGTCTTTACAGATGCCTTTCTTTTTTATGTAAAGCATTAAGAGGTATGAGAATAAAGTTGAATGTAAATCTCATTTAAAGAAACTTGAGCTGTTTGACAGACCAAGGAGAAGTTAACTTGTAACTAACTTGACAGAAAAAAAAATCGGAATGATCGAGCCAGAATAGCAAACAAACCCTATCAGAGCACTTCTCAGAACCAATTTAATGCAGCTGCATGATTTTAGGATCAGCAGACAAATGAGTTTGTAACTTGTTTGTAAAGATTGGAATGTTGAGCTCATTTCCTATCTTTTTCCCCTGGAGAGCAGTGTCAGGCATTAACTCTTAAATTTTTTAGGTCACCTGAGTAAACTCAGGTGACCTATTGCTATCCGTTTTTGTCCGTCGTCGTCCGTCGTGCGTCGTGCGTTAACATTTAAACATTTTCAGCTTCTTCTCTGAAACCACTGAACCAATTTCAACCAAATTTGGCATATAGCATCTATGGGTGAAGGGGAACAAAAATTGTGAATTTCGTGGTCCCGGCCCCCCTGGGGCCTGGGGGGTGGGGCAAAAACAACTAAAAATAGTGCAATCTTTAAAAATCTTCTTCTTTACTCCCTGACATCAAGCAGTCAAACTGTTGGTATGATTGTAATCAGCATTGAGTCCTCTACCAAAATTGTGAAATTCATGGCCCCAGGGTCAGGGGTTCTGGTGTTAGGGTGGGGCTCTATTGATTATATAGTGAAAATGCATTATTTCTTTGAAAATCTTCTTCTCTGTTCCTGAGTATTAAATAAATTAATTAAGCACATAGTTATGATGAGCAAGAGTGTCTCTTCATAAATTTTGAATTTTATGGCCCCTGGGTCAAGGGTACTGGTGTTAGAGCGGGGCTCTATACTGATTATATAATGAAAATGCATTAAATCTTTGAAAATCTTCTTCTCTGCTCCTAGGCATAAAAAACACTGATTCAGTAAATAATTATGATGAGCAAGAGTGCCTCTACCAAAATTGTGAAATTCATGGCCCCAGGGTCAGGGATTCTGGTGTTAGGGCGGGGCTCTATATTGATTATATAATGAAAATGCATTAAATCTTTGAAAATCTTCTTCTCTGCTCCTAGGCATAAAAAACACTAATTCAGTAAATAATTATGATGAGCAAGAGTGCCTCTACCAAAATTGTGAAATTCATGGCCCCAGGGTCAGGGGTTCTGGTGTTAGGGCGGGGCTCTATATTGATTATATAATGAAAATGCATTAAATATTTGAAAATCTTCTTCTCTGCTCCTAGGTATTAAATACACTAATTCAGTAAATAATTATGATGAGCAAGAGTGCCTCTACCAAAATTGTGAAATTCATGGTCCCAGGGTCAGGGGTTCTGGTGTTAGGGCGGGGCTCTATTGATTATGTAGTGAAAATGCATTAAATCTTTGAAAATATTCTCTGCTCTTAGGTTTTAAATAACCTAACTAAGTACATAGTTAAAATGAGCAAGAGTGCCTCTACCAAAATTGTGAATTTTTTGACCCCAGGGTCAGGGGTTCTGGTGTTAGGGCGGGGCTCTATTGATTATATAGTGAAAATGCATTAAATCTGAAAATCTTCTCTGCTCCTAGGTTTTAAATAAACTAACTAAGTACATAGTTATGTTGAGAAAGAGTGCCTCTTCCAAAATTGTGAATGCCTTAGCATCTAGCTTAAAACATGAAACAAATTCAATCATTTGAAAGTTGTTGCATGATGCTCAGGTGACCAATAAGGCCCGTGGGCCTCTTGTTGGAAAGAGCAATATGCTTTTCTTAACTTTTTATGGATTATAAAGCATGAACTGCTCCAACCAAGGTTATACAGGATAACTTGGATGTTTATTAAATTCATTTCTTCAGTTATCATTTGAAAAACTTAATCTATCTCCACTAAATGCTTGTTCATATGTCTTCACTATTCTGAAGAATTTTTTTTTTAAAAGAATGAAGTATATGGAGATAACAAACAATATTCAAGCTCAAAAGTCTCCTAAACTTCACAAAATATGAGTGGAGCAAACACAGACCTCCAAAACATCAGAGGTTGGATCAGGTGCCACGGAGAGTGAGCAACCCCATGCCGATTAGTCACATTGACATGATTTCAATATTTCTATATTATCTCCTCATAAAGAAGCAGTGGTCGACCACTTGAAGAAACTAGAATTTCCTTCAAACATGTTTACAATTTGGTTAAAACTGTCCTCAAGAATTTAGAAAGGTTAAAATGTGAAATTTACAGTTGACATACAGATCTGCCAGAAATGTTTTAATGCAGAAAAGCTCATTTCATGGTCAGCTTTAGACAGCAAATTCAATTTATGAGGGCTGTTCAATAAATAATGTCCTCCGTGCTCGGAAAGAAGCAAAAGACGCTTTTCAATTATTTAGTCTTCATAATTTTACTTATTAATCTCTTTTTATTAAAACACATGTCCGTAACATTTTTTATCCAATTTCTGATTGTTTTTAGAACTCATTTTTGGGTATGACCCTTAGTATACTGGAAAATGGCAGATCCAATGATGATACAAAGTATGCAAATGCTAGAAACAATCTTTTTAACCACCTGTTCATGCTTGAAGAATTGGTTACAATTGACACTAACCTACTATTATGGGGTGATAGAGATTTGCCTGTATCAACTATTATTAAAATTTTTGCTGCTGTCCATAGATTTATTACTGAAACATGTAGATTTTAAATTGATTTGTAATTAACTTGTATCACTTGAAAATATTATAAATATCATATTTTAATGTATTATTTGCATGACATATTGTTATATTTATGGAGAGGAACTTGTAAGTTGCAAGAACTTGTTTCCAATCCATTTGACTCGTTCAATAAAATATGTTCAAAACAAAACAATGATTTCCTGGACTTGTTTCTTCCTTGTTAAAGGTGTTTTTTTTAAAGTTTGGAAATAGAAAAAAGTCAAACGGCCAACGATCTTGCGAAATATTAACTAACTGTTTATCCCGAAAACCCCTTTACTCTTCAGGGCGTGCGGGTTTGGACGCTGTCATGAAGAAAGAGCAATATATGATAAGTGTCTCAAATGGCCCCTTAAAATGAATATGTTAATGTTAATTTATATACTGAAAGAAAAAAGGGACGCATATTAAACTTTTGAGTTAAATTAAAACAATCATTTAGAATATGTTTTCCAGCATTGTTATCATACATTTTAATTCATTTTTAATTCACAAGTTACCAAAATCGTGTGTGATTTTGACTGATAGTTCCTGAGTTATTGAAATTGATATGTCGACACCCCCCAAAAAATAGAACTAAAAATTCTCATAATAACCCTTGCGCATCAGTAACAAACTTGATTTCCCTGTGCATTGAGTCTACCAGAGCATTTATCCTTGTCACAGGATTATTATTCAACCCTTCCGACCGTAGTCTTAATGGCTGAGAGTAGCTGTATTATTCCAAAGCCAACAAATCCCCCCGCCCAATGAATTCCACGAATTTTTGATTTAGGATAGAATTTACAGAATCCAGCTGGTAAAAAAAGTCTCGACAAACATTTTCCCAGTGTAAGCACGCTAAAAACATAAGGCATACGACGCGTACGTGCGCGTGTGAGAGTAAAATCGACGTAAAGTTGCCAAGCTGGCGGCCCAAATTAGAGCCGAGAGTTTCTGTTCATTCTCGGGTGAAAAAAATGAGTATGATTGTCTGCTGTATAAATATCAGTTTCAGTGATATTGCATTGACCATAACCGAGGTGGCATGATGAAAAGCCCTATCTTTATTTGGCGTTTTTACGCGCCAACGTCACCATCATGGTTGGTTGGCATACATGTTAACCTATTGTGAAAAAATTTGGAAATTATTTTTGACCTGAAAAGGTAGCATTGCGCGCATGTTGTTTAACGCTTTTTATCGATATCTTTCATGTAATATTGTATATTCAAGCCTTAATGAAATCAGGTACCTACACTAATAAATCTTAAATATCAACAGCAAAGAAGAAGGAAACACCATGTATAGTATGACATAAATTGTACAAATTCAAATATTTTCATGCTGATCATTTTGCTTGGATTAGCTGCTTTAAAGCCTTTTGAAGAGTGATCTTTGCTGAAATAGCCTAGAAGCAATAATTCTGAATATTCATTCAGTTTTTAAACAAAACAAATGATGGCAATGGTTTATAAAGAATGTAAAAAATTGTATTTTTCGTTATATAAATATTTCATCCGATGATAAACCTTCACTTAAATAGAGATGTGATCATTTTTATATCAATCGAGGGATTTCTATTGACTTTATTGATGTTTAGCTTCGTGCTTTTAAAGACGATGTCAAATGTTTTCATCTAATTCTTAAATAGCTGTACCTCCTTTACTTCAGTGGCAGGGATGTTTGATTAATTTATCGTAACCAATGTAATCAATGTTTTAAATAGAAACTATATGTTGTTGCTTCAATATGTCAAATCCATACTTGAAAACAAACCTACAAAAAAAGCGTTTTTTTTTGTTTTGTTTTGTTTTAATGTTACAGGAAACAAAAAGTATGTTTACTGCAATATCAACATATTTTTTTGTATTTTTTTTGTTTGTTAAATAACATGATTTTTTATTGGTAGAGAATTGATAAACTTATCAAGATTGTCGAGAGATTAACAGTTAATTTATCCAAACATTTTATGGTTTTACTCTTTGGGCCGAATAAACTTATTTTTGTTTGAAAAGTTAAAGACAATCTTCACAGCAACATGTTGTTGCCTTTTTATTCACTTATGCAATATTGAATTCAATTACTAGACCCAATGTAACTTCGGTCAGTCATACCATGATTGCAAGAAATTTATACAGACTGCAAATACATGCAAAAATGATGTCTATAACTCTAATGCATCGTATGGCACTATAAAATGTGATCACAAAATTATCATCATCAACATGCACGTGTTTTTGACTTTTTATTACTTCCCCAAGGTGGCGCCATACATTTCATGGTTGAGTAGTT